ATATGTCCTTGCATGTCTTCAACAAGGTCTAAGAAAGCATTCTTTAGCACCTCTTCTCCAGAATGGCCTCAACAGTTCATGGTACAGTTCAGTTTCAGGCAATACTTTTCCCACACAATCAGACCAGTATCTCTAAGCAGTTAAATTATCCATTCTGGAAAAGTTCCAGATCTGCCAATTGACAACTCCTATACAAAGAATTTTCATAGAAGGTGTTTCACAGACAGCTCCCAGTTTCCATCCTTGCATACCCTGAGCTCGATCAATTTGATCAGTATTGCTAAAATCCAATTCATGCCAGTGCAGCCCCCTTTCAGATGCAGTTTTTCCAATATATAGAATTTGCCCCAGAAAAGACTAATCACTGGATATTAAACTCCAAACCCTATTTCCTACTGACGTACACCCCCACACAAGAAGCTCTGTAGAAAGGAAGGTTTCCCAGAACTGGAATAACTCCCTCATTTGTAACAATCAGTCCTGCTTGGCAAAGGAGAACAGCTTAAGCTTTAAAATGGCAAGACAGACACTACTTATTTGATAGAAGCACTTTTATTTTATCTCTACAAAGATGAACACATTTATGCAATGCTTCCTGCATTGGAGGCTATCCTGGGCCACAAATCTGCACACTCCTTAGCCACAGGGCCTGTGATTGCAGAGCCTGGAGAAGAGAAAGGAGAGAGTACATTAAGAGGGCTGAGCAGGTGCAGCAATAGAATAAAGTGACATTTTACACAAACACTAGTTCAGCCTGATGGTGCTCCTGAATCTGAGAAGCTGGCTCCTTTCGCCCAGGAGAGCGGAGCTCTCAACAGGAAATGCCAACACACCATCCCGCCCATTTCACCTTTGCCCACTTCAACAGGATTCTTGTCCATACCTTTCATTTCACCTTTATTATTTACTATCACTCCTGCATTGTCTTCAAAATAAAGGAACACACCATCTTTTCTCCTGTACGATTTTCGCTGCCGAATTACCACTGCTGGGTGCACTATAAAGAGAAACAAGCAGCTCAGTATCTCAACCATCCTTTTAAGCACAGTCCAATAACAGATACCCCAGAGGAAATGTTCTGCTGTAGTCTCTCAGCTCAATACACACTTTTTTTTTGAGTATCATACTTGCAGTGCTTCACTAGCAAGCACATTGGATTACAGTTCCAATACAGGCTGTATATTTCTCAGGTCTGATAGGCAAATCACCCTACCTTTGGCTTCTAAGCATTCACATTAGAAAATCTATCAAGTTTCCTTGGTAATACCTGGAAACACAGCTGACACCTAAACGAGCCTCAGAAATCCTGCTGATAGAGCAGGACTGATGGTCTAAGACAGGCTCCTCAGCCAACTCTTTGGCTATACTGGAAGGAAAAGTTCTTTTAAAGACAACTCAGCCTAGGGCCAAGTGCAAATGCAGTGTATCTTTTATTTTTCCTACCTCTGTTCTCTTACAGAAGCAGGGAAGTGGCTGCTGTAATCATGTCTCTTGCTCCATAGCGCGCAGTGCATTAGTTGGGTTGTGTACTGTCTACAAACTACAGTTTGCCTAGACCCAACTGTGTAACGCTTCAGCCACCTCTGGACTTGGGCAATTGAGTGTTTTTCCAGTTTCCCACTTACATTTCTAAATGTAATGCCAATTCATAGGCAATACTCAGCAAGAACCTCTTCCCCCTTATTCCCTCCAAAGCAGCAGCAAGGCTTGTTTTCCAAGGCACAATGTCACACCACTGATTGAAATAAACAGCACAGGCTGCTACTTCACCCAAAAGCGATGTCTTTGCTATGCCCTTCCACGACAACTCATTGAGCCACTGAGCACAGACCCAACAAGTGCTTTTCAGAAGGGTGGAACTAACACTCCAGGGAGGAGGTGCCTACTGTCTGTATCAGTTTGAAGGAGGAAACTTGCTCCCCTTAGATGCAAGATCTGCCTTTCCATCCCACAAAGGAAGGGCACTGCAGTGCAAGCAGACTCTCAGCAGCAGAGAGTAGCCTAATGATGGCATTATGCCCCTCCTAGTTTTTTGTGTTGGACTTGAGTTGTAATGCTGAGGCACAGACTGCTACTGTAACCCAGCAAGACCCAGCTACGTTATACCAACCTACAAGGGCGACAGTCATCAAAATAAGCAGGATTCATTCTGCCCCATCCCCCACAGTGAACAGCTTGAGGAAAGCCAGGCAAGTGATTCTCTGCAGCACACATGTACTGAGCAGTGCATTTTGGTGCGCTCTCTTGCGCCTGGGAAGGTGCTGCAGGGTAGCTGCCCTTCCACTCAGGGCTGTTTAGTTTGAGAAGCCCTGCAGGACTTGCAGCTCCTCTCCAAACTCACCCTTCTTCCTCAGCTCAGGCTTGCCCTTCTTGACAGTAGCCATGACCATGTCACCCACACCAGCAGCTGGCAGTCTGTTCAGGCGCCCCTTGATCCCCTTCACAGAGATGATGTAAAGATTCTTGGCACCTGCAAGGAAAGTCACCTGCATCAGCCCATCTGTCCCAGAAGAAGCTTCCTCTACAGGGACTCTTGTCAGACCACTGATTGACGCTAACAGCACAGGCTGTCACTTCACCCAAAAGCGATACTGTTGCTATACCCTCCCACGACATCTCACTGAGCCACAAACACAGACTCAGCAAGTGCTTTTCAGAAGGAAAAGTGTTTTTAGCACCACCACTGTGTTAAACTGCTCCAAGACTTAACACAGTCAAGAATCCATGGATTTGTTCAACAGCTAATTGTTCTATTAATTTACATCCCCTCTCCAGGCAGAGGGTTTCTAGGCTCGGTCTTGAGCCACTGGATCCCTCCTCTTAACTCAAATCCCCAGAAAAAAGCCTGCCAGAGGCAGAAACAAACAAACAATTATAGAAACGTGGCAGCTGGACTCACCTGTGTTATCCGCACAGTTGATCACAGCTCCCACAGGGAGACCAAGGGAGATGCGGAATTTCGCACCAGATGAACCACCACGTCCTGCAGGTTTAAAAAAAAAAACAAAACAGTAAGACCACAACTAGGGAGCAGAAACATATTCCAGATGCGACATAACGAGCCAGGCTCTTGCCCTTGAAACTGTCTGTTGCAAAACTCCCAGCATCCAAATATCCCACAGCTACAAAGGTGCATCCCTTCCCAGCCCCAGCTTCCTTAGGCCCCAGCACACAGCTGCCCCACCGCGGGTTTTTAACCCCAGCTGAGCTCCACGTCAAAGCCCCGCGGCCCTCAGAGCGAGCCCGGCC